TCTGTCTATGTTTTTGTCGTTGGAGACATCAGCATTACATGTTCTAAAGATGACACACTCACGTTTTTAGCCGATAAAGAGCTCAAAACTTAATGAATTAGTTTTAGTCAAATAATGCATAATACAGTTTTATGGCCAGTAACAAATAGATTTTGCTAGTTAATTTTCCCAGTTTCTCTCCCATTGGACCCTGCTCCCACATCAGTAAACCTGCAGTAAAATATAGATTGAAATGTCAGATTCAATAGCCTTCATCTACAGTCATTTTTATAATTTCCTAACTTTGACTACCTTTTTGTTAATGTTGGCTTAAAAAAAAGAATGAGCTGAGCCGTTTCTACTGCTGTGGTAAAAACACATGACTGATAAAATAACACAAGATCCACAATAAAGGATTTATTTTTCAAATATAAAAAATGATTTCATATACTAAAGAACCAAGTTCAGATTCTATTTGTTGTTGATTTTTTTCTTGCAAAGAGGTCTGAAACAAAATTGTCCTTTATCCCTTATATCTGAATTTTAGCAACACAAAACATTAAAAATAAACAGAAGGGATGTCAATTTATGTAACAGTGAACATATAAAGCATTTAATATCATTCATTAAAAAATATAAACCAATGATATGCACCACATTTAGAAAGCTTAGATGGAGGTTAGGGTTGAATTTCCACAAATGATTAAAATACAAACTGACAGTGAGCTACCTATAAAGTCATCCAGTGATCTGAGTTAATGATGACACTGTGTGACTGACTCACAGATTAATAAGTGACTTCACAGGTTCAAGGTATAAACTACTTCCGACTCCCTCACATGACTTTCTACTGAGGTCACAGTTTTACAGGTCATATGATTGCTCCTATGATTCACCCAGGTTAAAGCTGCAGTAGGTAACTTCTATAAAAATAAGTTTTTGTCATATTCACTGAAACTTTCACTCTATCCTGACAGTAGTACATGAGACAGATAATCTGTGAAACAATCAGGTTCCTGTGGCTCCACTAGTGTTTTTAATGGCAATTGCAAAAATCCACCGGGCTTGAACAAAAACAACCAATCAGAGCCAAGAGAGATAATTTATTGTTGAAACTCATTTCTAGGTCGCCAAATATCTGCGCTGGGAACTCAACAATCAATTATCTTCAAGCATCCAACCCTAAGAGTCTTTCTATCTGTCTCGACTGATTGGTTTCATATTAGATCTACAAGCAGTCCCTCCACTAATTCAACAAATCCCTGTTTATTCTGCCTTTCAATTTTGTTCAATTATCGCAACTTTCCCGCCAATTTGACCAATCATTCTAGTTTCCTATGTCACTAAATGTAGTTATTTTTGTAGTCTTCACTTTGTGCTTTAATTTCATTGCAAAAAATGCCTAAAACCATTTAAATCTTTTTAAAAAGCTGCCGTAAAATCAGGCATTTCAGGCTACAACCATCCAAAAAAAAAAAAGCCTGCCAAATCCTGGACGGACTGTACAAGGCCTAATTTAATAGCTTGTCCAAACTTTTGAAATGTAAATATTAAACACTATATGACCTAGAAATTGACTTCTGGAGGAAATACAATACATCATCCGACCAGCAGGGGGGCGATTAAATGTGGGGTGTGATTTTTTGGCTAATGTCTTAAAGCAAAAACCAAATGTCTTGTCAGAAGCATACAGCTCTCACCTGTTGGGAAGTTCTCCTCACATGCTGATAGAGTTCCCTTCAGACTGGCGTCTCTGGAGAGACCATGCACTGTTAAAAGAGCATTGTTGAGGTCACACAAGGAACAACTGAAAGCCCCCTTTCTCTCAATACAGCATCTAATTAAAGTCCATTCTGGGCTACTGTAGAAACATGGCAGTTCAACATGGCGGACTCTGTCAGAAGAGGACCCACACAACTGTAAATAAAAACGGAACATTCTACGGTACCGAAAACCCGATTCTTATTTTTAGGTGATTATACACTAAGGAAAACTTACCTAGGAATGTTATATTCCATTTCTGACAATAGATCCTCCTAAATGTTACACACCGGTCCTTTAATTTCTTTCCAATACAGGAAAGAAACAGAAGCAGTTATGAACACACTGTGGGCTGTACTTAACAATTCCTGACATTGTAAAATGAGGTAAAGATGGAAGTGTCTAGAAGATCGCCTGTTCATTTCCCAGTTTATTACTACCGCTTAGCACTCAACTGGTCCAGTGCTGCTCAGATCAGACTTTGGTTGTGTTGGACAGCTTCCAGGTCTAACAACTATTTACCTTACCTTTCCACTAATTTACCCTCATTTAGTTAATAATGATGTAATTTGGGTACTAGGCCCTAACCAATCAGAGCCAAGAAAGATAGTTGATGTTGAGTCTCATTCCCAGGGCATCAAATACAGACACTTGGGAATGACACTCACAATTAACTCTTTGCCTCCAACTCAAAGCGTCTTTCTATCTTTCTTGGCTCTGATTGGTTGTTTTGCAAATGCCATAAGGAGCCAGAGGAACCAGATTTTTCACTGATTATCTGTCTCTGTTCTCTCCTGTTTTACTGTCAGGGTATAGTGAAAGCTTCAGCAAATATGACAAAAAAGTTATCTACTGCAGCTTCACTTCCATTTTTTAACACATTGTTTTTAAAATTAACGTCAATTAATGTGTTAAATTTGACAACATTTGACACCCCATATCACCCCTGCCCACTTAGGGAGGAACCTGTGAATTTACACTTTAACTGAAAGGTACAAATGACAGAATATCTGCAGCCTAAAGTTTTTTCATTTAAACATTTAAAATTAGATTTTTAGAAAAAGATAATATTTGGTGTTTTTATAAAACAAAACTGTGTCAAATGATGCAATATCAAAACTGAGCCTTGATTTATTTTTAAGGAAGAGGATTAGGGCCACATGTGAACATGCAATTTAAATTCTGAGTAATTCTGACTTTGAACTGAGATTTTAGATTTTTTTTTTTTTTTTTTTTTACTAGCTGAGAACTTTTTACATTTGACCCTAATCCTTTTCCATCATTTTCTGTAATCAACTATTTAATAATCATTTCAGGACTAGAAAACATGTAGTTGTATTTTCGCTATAACATAGTGTGTGAGGTATGCATATATTAAAACAAACGAGGATCATACAGAGGCAATATCATAGAGTAATATATGCTAACACACCACAGGGCACGTGGTAAAATGCCTTTATATAGACTTTAATGATTTGGTACAACATGCTATGTCTCTCTCTCTCTCTCTCTCTCTCTCTCCCTGCCTCTGAAGTTGCCGTTGTCCCAGCACTATAATATCAGCACATACCCATCCTGCTGTGCCGGTGCTGCTGGCCGTCTGCAGACAGCTTCCTGCCGGTGTCTCGGCGCGACCTGGCTGACATGTCCAACACAGGCTCCTCGGTCCCTCGGTGATCAGTTAACACACCGTCACATGCCTGTCTGTAGGTGCAACCGACCAAACTTCTCTCCCAGAACGAGAGTCTGGGCTGACCACAGGAACTGCTCCGGTGGAGCTTTTCAAAATAAATGTCTCACTGACAAAAACATTTGACTTTTGAAATGAATGAATGTCGAGATTAATCGTGTGTTTGAAACAAGATTCACAAGTTTGCAGATTATTTTGGTGAAAGACGTTGTTTCAATATACTGAATTCATAATATATTATATATAATATATGGTAGAAATGTACATACTTTATATTCAGAAATGTGGAATTTAATACTCGTTAATAGAGTTCAAGTTCGAAAGTTTAATATAAATAAAAATAAGTAAATATCATTTCTTTATTTATTTATTCGTAGTATTTATTTTTTCTGTGTATGTATAATTGTTGATTATTCATTTGGAGGACGGGGTGGGGCGGTACAGTGGGGAAGAGCTGGAATCTATGTATCTTACTATTTTCTAGTTGTTGTTAAATATTTGTTATTTGTATTGTACTTGTATTTATTCATTGGGTGTTTGCATCGTAAGAAGTTGGTATTTTTAAACTTTATTATTATTATTATTATTATTAATATTAATACATTTATTTATTTGTATCAGTAAACTATTTCTATGCGCATTTTTCTTACCTAACTATTTCTCAAACTCCCGGCTATGTGAGTTACAATCACATTTTCGGTAACTGGATAATTGACTAATTCTACACTATTACTGACATTAGTCTCTTATTTTGAAGTTATATTCGCTTGATGTCCTGTGTAACTCGGTTCCCTTGACACAAACTCTTTACTGACATACTGCACTGACAGGCACAAACCCTCATCATACTGTTTGTTTTTGTTATTACATCTGTTTTTTATTTATATTCATGCTGCAGGTTGTATATGTGTGTGTCAGGTGGTCAAATAACAAAATCCATTGGAGCATAAAAGGTTCCTAATTGCGGTTCAGAATTCGAGTGAGGTTTTTAGGTTAATAATCACTCACTGAACAAATAAAGCTGCTTCCATTACCAAATCACTAAATGGGCTGAGAGAGGGTGGCACAGGCACACATTTTAGGCTAGATAAGCTAGACTTATTTGCTAAATACAACCAAAGAACTCTGTTTTCTATCCTAAACTCTCTCCAAAAAACTTTCCCTCTCTGTTTGGTTGTGTGTGGGTTTGGGTCAGTGTGTGTTTTCCCTCAAACATCCCAGGAACAGACTCAGCATTTCCTTTCCTCCAGTCAATTCCTCTGTCAGCTTGGAGTTACATCTGAAAACTCAGGAATTTATAACAGCAGCAAAGAGACAATCAGAGGGAAGGAATCACAAGATACCTGACAGCTCAGCACTCACATTCTGCAAGGCGTCATATAACACTCAGTCTTTTTACTACACTTTTACTCCACACAATAGTTGTCAGATGACTATGTGGTATAAAGTACAATTCTTTAGAATTATATAAGTCTGAGCCCTGCTTTAAACGTTCATTTATTTTTTGTCCCTGTGCAATTCAATTCAATTCAATTCAATTCAATTCAATTTTTTTCATAACAGAAGTTATCTAAGGACACTTTTCAAATAGAGCAGGTCTAGACTGAACTCCTTATAACATTATTTACAGAGACCCAACAGTACCACCATGAGCAAGCACTTGGCAACAAGGGAAAGGAAAAACTGCCTGTTAAAAGGCAGAAACCTAGGACAGATCCTTCGGCTCTAGGTGGGTGGTCGTCTGCCTCGACCAGTTGGGGTGAGAGAGAGAGAGAGAGAGAGAGAGAGAGAGAGAGAGAGAGAGAGAGAGAGAGAGAGAGAGAGAGACAGAGACAGAGACAGAGAGAGAGAGAGAGAGAGAGAGAGACAGACAGACAGACAGACAGACAGACAGACAGGTGCACAGCAACAATCCTGCAATGGCAATCTAGCAGGACCATGGCAGGAGGCTCCACCAGGATCGATAAGAACCTGCGAGACGAGAAAGCACAAGAACTCCGGGGAAGAAGTGAAGTTAGTAACATGCATTAATGGAACATGAATGAGTGCAGAAAGAGAGAGGAAGAGAGGAGCTCAGTGCACCATGGGAAATCCCCCGATAGTCTAAGCCTATAGCAGCATAACTAAGGGATGGTTCAGGACTCACCTGATCCAGCCCTAACTATAAGCTTTATCAAAGAGGAATGTCTTAAGCCTACTCTTAAATGTGGAGAGGGTGTCTGCCTCCTGAACCACAACTGGAAGCTGGTTCCACAGGAGAGGAGCTTGGTAACTGAAGGCTCTGGCTCCTGTTCTACTTTTAGAGACTATAGGAACCACAAGTAGCCCAGCATTCAGAGAACATAGTGTTCTAGAGGGGTAATAGGGTACTATGAGCTCTTTAAGATATGAAGGGGCCTGACCATAAAGAGCTTTATAGGTGAGGAGGAGGATTTTAAATTCTATTCTAAATTTTACAGGGAGCCAATGCAGAGAAGCTAGTACAGGAGAGGTGTGATCTCTTTTTCTAGTTCCTGTCAGTACTCGTGCTACAGCATTCTGAATTAAATGGAGCGTTTTAATGGACTTATTGGGGCAACCTGATAATAAAGAGTTGCAGTAATCCAACCTAGAAGTAACAAATGCATGGATTAGTTTTTCTGCATCTGTCTGTGATAGTATGTGTGTAATTTTTGTAATATTACGTAAATGAAAGAAGGCAGTCCTAGAGGTCTGCTTCATGTGGGAGTTAAAAGACAAATCCTGATCAAAGATAACTCCAAGATTCCTGACAGTGGTGCTACAGGCCAAGGTAATGCCATCTAGAGTAACTATATCTTTAGACAGTGAGTCTCTAAGGTTTTTGGGGCCAAGAACAAGAATTTCATTTTTTTCTGAGTTTAACATCAGAAAATTGCAGCTCATCCAGGATTTTATGTCCTTAAGACATGTTTGTAATTTAGATAATTGATTAATTTCATCGGGCTTGATCGATAGATATAACTGCGTATCATCTGCATAACAGTGAAAGTTAATGGAGTGATTCCTAATAATGTTGCCTAAATGGAGCATATATATAGTGAATAGAATTGGTCCAAGTACAGAACCTTGTGGAACTCCATGACTAACTGTAGTATTTATTATAAAGAATCATTGTTAACATGTACAAACTGCGAACGATCTGATAAATATAACTTAATCCAGTTTAGTGCGGTTCCTTTAATGCCAATTTGATGCTCAAGTCTTTGTAAAAGAATATTATGGTCAATGGTGTCAAATGCAGCACTAAGATCTAATAATAAAAGTACAGAGACAAGTCCATTGTCAGAAGCAATCAGAAAGTCATTATTAACTTTAACCAGAGCTGTCTCTGTGCTGTGATGAACTCTAAATCCTGACTGAAAATCCTCAAATAAACTATTGTTATGTAGAAAGTCACACAACTCTTTGGCGACTACTTTCTCCAGAATCTTAGAGAGGAAGGGGAGGTTAGAAGTTGGTCTATAGTTGGCTAAAACCCCTGGGTCAAGAGTGGGCTTTTTAAGAAGGGGTTTAATTACAGCTACTTTAAAGGACTGTGGTACATATCCTGATAATAAAGAAAGATTAATCATATCCAGTAAAGAAGTGCCAATTAAGGGAACAGCTTCTTTAAGCAGCCTAGTTGGGATCGGGTCTAATAGACAGGTTGATGGCTTCCATGAAGAAATGATTGAAGTTAACTGATGAAGATCGATAGCAGAAAAACAGTCTAAATATATATCTAAGTTTACATTAGCAAAAGTCCCTGAACTTGGAGAGCCATTGATAACTGTTGATGGCAGTTGGTGATTAATTTTTTCTCTAATAGTAATAATTTTATTATAGAAGAAGCTCATGAAGTCATTGCTACTTAAGTTTATGGGGATATGTGGCTCAATAGAGCTGTGACTCTCTGTCAGCCTGGCTACAGTGCTGAAGAGGAACCTAGGGTTATTCTTATTTTCTTCTGTTAGTGCTGAATAATAGGCTCCTCTGGCGTTACGGAGGGCCTTTCTATAAGTTTTAAGATTATCTTGCCAAATTGAGCGATATTCCATTGCAGTGGTGTATCTAGACTGTTTGACTGGGGTGGCCCAAGTGGGGCACTAACTAATGCACACATAAGATATGCAGATGTCAGATTTCTCATATCGGCTTTAATGACTAACATTACAGTATCTTACCGTTAAACGTGCAATATTTAATTTCTGCCATTAGGGGGTCTCTCACATCAAAACAACACAAAAGTTGTTAAGTAGCGTGGGATCATAGAAGTTATCTCCACCACTATTGCTGTCACTTTCTCACACTTAGGATTCCTTCAGTGTTCATGGTTCAGGAGGTTTCTATCCATCAAAAAGTCAATGTACGACAGCTTCTGGCAGACAACCACAACACTGACGCATGCACAAAGGGCATATGACATCATTGACAGGCGACCATTGAAACGCACCCTTACCTGAATAAAAGGTCCTGCCTCTGAAAGGTACCCAATATAGTTTAGGATAATGGGGCACATGCCACCCCAGGCCACCCTGAATATGTACCTGTTCCTATGAGTTCAGACTTTTTAGACATTCTGCAATTACCATTCAATGATTTCTGAAGTTGACAATTTCCTTAAAGCTTAAAGCATCCTCTGATTTTTTAACCAATTGGGGGCAGCAGAGCAAACTGAAAACACAAAACCTGGCATTCACATCACATTATAAAGTTGATATGGTGATTGTGTTAGCAAACAGCTTGACAAGGGTAGTTAACTGAACCCAGGAGCAGACACACAGACAAGATGGACGGTTTAAGGGTCTTTATTCCGCACACACACACTGGGGGGGGGAAGAGGGGCGGCCGCGGCAGGAACAGGCAGGTGAAATGGCAAGCGAGACCGGAAACATGGAGGCACAGGAGACTGACTCTGGGAACTGAACTGCACACGAGGGTTCCTGGAGCACAGGAGAGAAATGGTTAGACAAGGGAGCTGGAGCAGGAGAATCACGGGTGGACATGTAGTGGAAAGCTAGACACTGAAAGGAGCCACGAAAGTTACCACTAAGTTGGCTGAAACAATCTGGCGATGAATGGGAGGAAAACCGGGTTCTTGAAGGCTGAGGCATGATGAATGATTGAGAGCAGGTGAGACAGCAGACAGCAGGTGAGGAGAATGGAGACTGCACCCTCATCAGGCACACAGGGAAGGAGGAGGAGCAAAGGGAGCAGGAGGGGAGCAGAGCCATGACACAGCTGCCCATTTACACATCCAGCAGACACAGAGCAACATTATTATTCACTGGAGTCGTGTTTGTGTCCACCTGATGAATTAAGTCTAATATTCACTCTGCTCTAACCTATCCTCCATCAACTCCTGAAAATTATATCTGTCTCTTTGACTGCTTATTGCATCACTATTTTCTCCACCTAGTCTCTGTGTCTGTCTGCTGCTTGATGCTGACCAGGTAGTGTAAAGAGGGTTGATCAGAACAGTCTGCCTGCTGCAGCTGGAAACAAGGTTGATGAGAACAGACTCAAACCAAAACAATGAGCTAAAAGAGGTTCCGTAAACATGAATCAAACCCAGGAGTTTGTGATAATTCCCTGTGGATTTGTCACTACAAACAAAACTTTTCACATTACTGATAGTCACTTGATCTGGCCAATGAAAATATTGATACATATGGACAAAAGTATTTGGACGCCTCAACATTATACCAACAGGGACTGTAATGACATTGTATTCAAATACATATGGTTTAATATTGAGTTGTCCATTTACCACTCTTCTTGGAAGGCTTTTCACAAGATTTTGGAGTGTTTCTGTGGGAATTTGTGCCCATTCATTCTGTAGAGCATTTATAAGGTCAGGCACTGATGTTGGACAAGAAGGCCTGTCTCACAGTCTCCGTTCCAGTTCATCCCAAAGGTGCTCGATAGGGTGGAGGTCAGGGCTCTGTGCGGGCCAGTCAAGTTCTTCCACACTGAACTCATCAAACCATGTCTTTATGGACCTTGCTTTGTGCGCTGGGGCTCAGTAATGTTGGAACAGAAAAGGACCTTCCCCAAACTGTTACCACAAAGTTGGAAGCATAGCATTGTCCAAAATGTCTTGGTATGCTGAAGCATTAACATAGCCCTTCACTGGAGATAAGGGGCCTAGCCCAAACCCTGAAAAACAGCCCCATACCATTATTCCTCCTCCACCAAACTTCACAGTTGGCACAAAGCAGTCAGGCAGGTAATGTTCTCCCGGCATCCGCCAAACCCAGATTCGGCCATCTGACTGCCAAACAGAGATGCGGGATTCGTCACTCCACAGAACATGTGGGACTGCTCCACAGTTCAGTGACGATGTGCTTCACATCCGTTCATCCGACGCTTGGCATTGGACTTGGTGATGTAAGGCTTGCATGCAGCTGCTCGGCCATGGAAACCCATTCCATGAAGCTCCCACCGCAGTTTTTGTGCTCACATTAATGCTAGTGGAAGTTCAGAACTCTTCAGCAATGGAATCAGCAGAGCGTTGGCGACCTTTACGCACCATGAGCCTTAGCAGTCGATGACCTCGCGGAGTTGCTGTTGTTCCACTTTCTAATAATATCACTTGCAGTTGCGCAAGGAATATCCAGCAGGGATAAAATTACAGTGGCGTCCTATCACAGTACCATGCTTGAAGTCACTGAACTCTTAAGAAACGACCCATTTTGCATCACAATGTTTGCAAATAGAGACTGCATGGCTAGGTGCTTTACTTTATACACCTGTGGGAAGGGGTCTCATTGAAACACCTGAATTCAATAATTAACAGGTGTGGCCAAAATACCTTTGTCCATATAGTGTATATGGCTTTAAAATTGCTGTAGAGTGCACCCAATTTCATCCCTGCTGTCTGATGATGTAGTTCACACGTGTTTAAAAACATCAGCAATGAAGAGACTATTGGTATGGTAATGGTACTGAGTGCAGTACCAAAATCATTGACTGTGTCTTTAAATCTAACTATGTCTGTGCAACAAGGTCATAGAGGAAGATTAATCATTTTATCATATGAATCACTTTTTAACAAACGGGGTGTTGTGTTCAAACATGTAAATATGTTTATATATAAAAATAATATAATACACTTCAACATGAATCCAACATATAACTTTTATAAAAAAAAACTTTTTGTCATATTCACTGAAGCTTTCACTATATCCTGTCAGTAGTACACGAGACAGGCCTTTGGTTCCTCTTAGTGCTCCTAATTCTATTTACAAGAATCCACCGGGCCTGGTTGAAAACAACCAATCAGAGCCAAGAAAGATATTTTGTTATCTATTGTTGAGTCTCACTCCCAGGTCGTAAATATCAATGCTGGGAATGAGACTCAATAATCAACGACCGTCCTTCAAGCCACCAACCCAAAGCATCTTTCCATCTTTCTTCCTTCTGATTGGTTGTTTTTGTTCAGACCCGGTGGATTCTTGCTCATGTACTACCGTCAGGATTTAATGAAAGTTCAACAACGAATATGACAAAAACATGTTTTTTTTATAAACGTTTCCTACTGCAGCTTTAAAATATTCCACATTTCCTTGGGACCCCCTAGAACCCCCTCAATGACCCCGTCAGGTTGAGAACCACTGTATCAAAATGTTACAACCCAGAAATTGTAAATCATTTAAAAACCATTAACAACGCAATCAGTTAAACATATAAACCCTTTATAAAGGCTTATTAGGAATTATTACCATAGTTGTCACAGCTGGCTTCCTATTGTATACTGTAGAGGGCGCTCCCTATGAAAATTGATCTAAACTCAGCTGAATTCAGCCATTACCGCAACTCTGTTGTCAAGTAAATGAACATATAAAACAACACTTCCGCTTACTGCTTTCACAACAAAAGTTTTATTGACGAAGCTACGCCAGATAGTTGTTTGATATAATAATGCTTTTGTTTTGACGCAAATTCCTACTACTTCCGGCATTACTCGTGCTAACAGACAAAGCTAATTTACAGTCTTTGAGCATCATCCAAACATTAGCTCGCTGGGTAGCTTTTTAGCTAACCAAACTCTCCAGAAAGACAGAGCGCCCGGTCTGGCTAATCTATGAGCCGCAAAAGAAACCACAGTTTCGCGGACACCAGCCTGTCTCCTGAACTCCACGGCGCCTTCATGGAGCCTCCCGGGTCGGCAAGCCGAGCCGACGGCGATTTCCTGGAGCTGGAGCCCGACGAGGAGCTGCTCTGCTCGGTCAGCGACATCACCGAGCACCTCGGCAGAAACATCACCGCGGTGCTGCAGACAGCGCTGTCCGAGATCCGCAAAATGGTCAGCAACAGGATACGAGTCCTGAAAATGGAGCTGCGAGAGAAAAGCGAAGAAATAGAAGTATTAAAGGCGAGGTTGGATACAGTCCAGAGGGACCCTTTCCCGGGCGCTGCGACCGCAGAGCCCTCCGCAGACGCTGGCCTCAAGAAAACCGACTTTAGCTCCGGCAACAAACACAGCAGCGTCGACCCCAGAAGAGTCAAAGCTGTCATGCCCGGCGTGAAGAAGGAGAATATAGACGCCATTTGCGACTATCTGATGAAAGACAAGAACTCGAGGGGGTGTGCTGACATGGACGGAGATCAGAGCAGCCAAGCCAGCAGCGACAGGGAGGCTCGCCAAGAGTCGGACCCGCACTCCCTCAACCTGTGGCCAGATAGCGGGATGGCTGGCTCCGGGCCTGGGCACGGTGACTCCGAGTCCACAGCAGATGACATCTTCAGTATGCTACCCTCTGGCAGCAAACGGATGTATGAGTACGAATGGATAGCGCCGATGGAGTATTCTGCAGAGCTGAAAGGTAAACAATCACAGACCACACAACTGGGGACACTGTGGAGCACCAGCCAGCAAAATGGATTCAAAGTTAGGAACTGTTGAAATACTCTAAGTTAAAGTTATGCGGTGGGTCAACAAATGTTACTAACTCAATCAAAATCAAGAGATATTAAAGGACCAGTGTGTAACATTTAGGAGGATCTATTTTCAGAAATGGAATATAATATTCATAGCTATGTTTTCATTAGTGTATAATCATCTGAAAATAAGAATTCTAGTCTTTTTGTTACCTTAGAATGATCCAATTTTATCTAAAGAGGGAGAGGGTCCTCTTCTGGTTGAGTCCGCCATGTTGAGTGGTGGGACAGCTAAAACCAAACACTGGCTCTAGATAGGTAACCTGATGGTTTGAGCCATGTGTGAAGTAGTGGACTGAAAAAATGCTTAGCAGGTGATTGGATGAATCATCTGTCTATCACTGTATATCAGGGGTGAACTTCAACCAATCAGATCAATAAACTATATAACCAAGTTAAACTCTTACCGGAGTATAATATTTAGGAAGGTTTATTGTGAGAAATGTAGGAAATAATGTAACGTGTATAGTGTATATTCGCCTTAAAATAGGAATCCTTTGTTTTTCTGTTACCTTAGAATGACCCGTTTTTATCTGCAGAGGGTCCTCTTATGGCGGACTCCGCCATTTAGAACCACCATTTTTCTACAGTAGCCCAGAACGGACAAACCAAGCACTGACTTTAGATATGTAACCTGACTGCGCCAGATGGTTTGAACCATCTGGGAAGTCGTCACTGGACTTTCAAGAACTACTCGGCAGGTGATTCAATCAATCATTTGTCTATCACCGTCTATCATGGGTGAACTTTAACCAATCAGATCAATGAACCTGTGGGAAGGAGCCCACCCAGGCATTCTTCCTCCCTGACAGCTTCCACTGTTTTATTTTGTTCGTGGAAACAGGCCTGCATAAATTGCCAATAAAGCCAATAAAGAAAGAGTATCTGATAGAACTGGAACAGCACAATTCCCCCCTCGATATCTGGCCTCATGTGATCGTATCTTTCCCAGTCATGAAGGAGCCTGAGTGTGAGAACACCCCGACCGGAGAGACAGAGGATGATGACGACGATGATGATGATGATGATGACGACGAGTTGTCGAGGAGTGAGGGGGGTGGACTGGAGCAGGCCCAGGCCCCGCTCTCACAAGTCCAGGCCTCTGAGTTCTCCATGGAGCCCCAGAGCTCTCCAGGTGAGGGAGGGAGTCCCCTGGAGGGCAGCACAGACAGGCCGACGGCAGGTGGGTAAGAATGGGGAGAAGGGATTGATGGGAATGATGAAAATGAGAGAAAAAGCATATTAAACTTTAAAGATAAACTGATAAATGTGGCTGTAAACTGTAAGGACTGTGTAGCTATCAGGTCAGTGTGTTCCTGTTCCTGCTCCATGCTTTTACATGGTTTTCCCTGCCAGTTAACATTTTGAAAGCAGAGTGCTTCACACTCACCTACGCCATGTTGGCTGCTTTATAATTTCTTGACAATTTTGAGGATTTGAGGTAGACACCTTTTTAACACCAGCAAAAATATTTACCTCTAGTGAAGAAAACCAGGATTCCCACACATTCTGGAAAACCTTGATATTTAGACACTTGTTTTGTAGCCATGGAAACACCTGGAAATTGATTTTAAAAAATTACCAAATATCCTGTAAGTAATCTATGTTGTCCTGGAAAATGTTTATTGTATTTTAGCCCCGCACTCAGATTCCCCACATAAACCTAGGTTAGAGGGAAACTGTGGTAAACTGTAGTCAAATCACCGGAGATGCTGCAAACAGCGGAAAGCAAGCTAATACGGAGTGTCCCATAAGACTACCTACCTGTAATCAACCTGCATCACATCATTATGAAAGCTGCGTAATTGAAAAAGGAGGGAACATTTTTAAATACTAGGCCTACCGGTAATTTGTATGACCAGGCAAGGGCTCCTGGAAAGTATAGTATACCAGTGTATTATGTCATAATAATGCAGTTGAATGATGTCGCTTCTGACATGCTGTACCCGCTCTTCCTTAAAAAACACGTCACGTTCTGAAATATAATAATACATTTTATTTAAAAAGCGCTTTTCTGAATACTCAAAGACACTAATCTACAACATAAACCAATGTATTTTTCTGTTAGATTAATTAATTGAAATTCCATCTAAGCAACATCTTACTGGCTGAGCTAACTTTGTATATTAGGTTGTAATGTGCATTGAATTTGAATTATTGACTAATTGAATTATTACATGACTTTTCTTTGTCTTCTGTTTTATATCGACATTATATATCAGCCAACCTAAAAAAGTATTGGTATCCCCCATTGAAAAAACAATTAGTTGACCACTAGTCAAGAAGCCATTAACGGAGGGTGAACTATAAAGTTCTATGATTAAATAACTACTATCTTAGGCACACTTAGTAAAAACAGAACACCAAGAAAATGAAACCTCTGCATAGGGGTGCACGATAATTATCGGGCAGATAACAGGAAATTATTACGTCATTCCGATAAGTCCGATATCATGACGAATAGCCCCGATAACATATATAACTTTGTCAGCACGGCAGTGCCCCGCTCCCACTATGACACCTGAATGGCCTGCAGTGAATGCTGCATTCAAGTGACATTGGCATAATCAGAAAAACTGACTGGGAAAATTCAAGAATACCCCCTCATGTCGAAAATAACTCGTTAACTCGGTCATAATTTGGTAGTTGCTGACTTGAATTGATATCCACAGTATTTTTCCACATGTTACACATAAACAATAGAAACATGAACTTAAAAAGGCCGAAAGAAAGACTACCAAATGTGGGAACAGGGAATTACCGTCACACCATGAATTCAGCACAGCGTGCTTACGTTTGAAAACAGACAACATGGTGTCGACTGTGTGGGACTTTTTCAAAATTTTCTGAAGAAGACAGGTCGCTTGTTATTTGTAACAAATGTTCCAACCAAGTTCCACGAGGAGGTTAAAGTAGCATGAGCTTCAATACGTCAAACCTGAGTCTCTCTCTCTCTCTCTCTCTCTCTCTCTCTCTCTCTCGATAAAACAACTGAACCTCATTTACTTTAGTGAAAAGGTATTCATTTGAATGGAACCATAAGCCAAAATAATTTCAACTTAATTTTTTGTTACTATGAATGCACTTTTTCAGTTTGTTTACACAGACAAGTGTAACTTGCGTCAGTGCATTATGCACATTTTATTTATTGTTATTGAGGAATGCACTTTTTTCAATTGTGTTTACATAGAAATGTTTGAATCTAAAAAGTGCATTCCAGAAGTTCAAAAAAAATAAATATATATAGAAAATTGATGCACTCTTGTGTCAGTGCATCAATTTTCTATATATATATATATTTTTTGAACTTCTGGAATGCACTTTTTCAGTTTGTAATCCCGATGCATGTATTTGTATCAGTTCAAGGGGCCTTTATTTTTTTTTCTGAGAGGCTTGCCAATAGTTTTTCATTGGAAAAAATAAATATCAACATTTAAAGAGTCAAAAGTGTTTTTGGGTTCGTTCATTGTATTAATGTCATGATCTTAGGTTGTTATAAAGAGTTCGCTCTAGACCTGCTCTATTTGAAAAGTGTCCTTAGATAACTTCTGTTATGAATTGGCACTACGGTATCGGCCTTTAGGAGCTGAAAGTTATCGGTTATCGGTTTTAAAAAAAAGTTATCGTGCATCCCTACTACTACACTGTATGTCTATCTAGTGTGTCTGGATCAGGGTTTAGATAACTAGTTAGCTAATCTACATCAATAATTAGCTAGCTAGTTACATCTGAAAGCTTATGTTAATAAAACATTATCTGCTGTAACTAGCTAGCTTATTTACAACAATTGTTGGTGATGTAGTTAGCTCAAATGTTGCTAACTATCTGCATGGATAGATACCACACTAAAACATGTTGTTTTGTAATTTGAGTTGTAATTTAAATGACCTAATAAATACAATATCACGTAACTATTTCTAACTAATTTAAAGGGACAATTGACCCATCCTAAGTCCCACCTCTTTTTGCTCTGTGCTCCTCGGTCAGAACCTTGGTCAACTTTATCCCTTCCTGTATTTAGATATGAGATAGCTAATGTTAACAAAACGCTAGCTGACTGGCTACCTAACAAACTAATCTACATCTCAATCATTAGATAGCTAGTTATCTAAGGTTTTGTTAGAGATCAAGACAAACTAGCTAATCTACATCAATCGTTAGCTAGTTATCTTTTGCGAACATTTATAACTTAAGATATGACTCTATATATGTTGCATGTGTCTTTTAACCATCTTCAAAATGTGGTTGTCTTTTCAACATAGACCCATCATTATTTGCACATTATTTGCTGTTGTTTCACAATTGTCCCTGCAGCTGTAGCTCAGAGGCTGAGCTGATAGTCCACCAAACGGAAGGTTGTTGGTTCAATTCACAGCTCCTCCCACTGCATGTTGAAGTATCCTTGAGCAAGATACTGATCCCCAAATTGCTCCCGATGCTTTGTGTATGTGTATGAATAAGTTAGTTTCTGTTCGATGGACTTTGCCATCGCTGTGTCAATGTGTGTGAAAGGGCGAATGTGGCATGTAGTGCAAAAAAAAGTGCTTTGAATGGTCGTAAAACTAGAAAGGAACTATACAAGTACAGGTCCATTTACCATTTACCATATTACATACACCGTACACTCACTATCCTTAAGCACCTTCAATTATATGGCAGCAATAAGCAGTTCATGTGGAAGTGTGTGATGTATCCCCTCAACTAAGAAATACTGACTGTGCCTGCTCTACACTTTTTCCCTGGAGGGATTCAGCGCTCAGGATTTAATGGTCTGCTATCTGTTTTGTTTGTGGTTTCAGGCCAGCAGTTCCCCAGCCACACCTACATCTGCTCTCTGTGTGGAACCTTCTGCCCTGACTCTGTGTTCCTAGAGGAACATGTTAAACTGATACACTCGGACTCTGCCGATGCCCAGGCTCTCCAGGCCCTGCAGTCCACCTGCTCAGCTGCAGCCGCCATGGGCGACGGCAGCAGTGACTCCAGGAGGGGTGGAGAAGGGGGACAGAACGAGGGTGGAGCAGGGGCTGGTGCCGGCATCGGTCGGGGAGGGGGTACTGTGAAAAAGGAGATTAAAATTGAAGGGGGGTACGAGTGCGGGGAGTGTGGCCGCCATTTTAACTACCTTGGCAACTTGCGGCAGCACCAGCGTATCCACACCGGAGAGAAGCCCTTCATGTGTCCAGAGTGCGGGGAGAGGTTCCGCCACGCAGCCCGCTTAAAAAGTCACAGGCTGGTGCACAGTGGAGCCCAAAGCCCCTTCCCCTGCCCCCAGTGCGGGAAAGGGTTCTCAGTGCTTTCTGGACTCAAGAGACATCAACGGGTACACACCGGTGAGAGCCCGTATGCCTGTCCACAGTGCGGCCGGCGCTTTAAGGAGCTGGGGAACCTGTACACCCACCAGAGGATCCACAGCGGGGCCACGCCCTACTGCTGCCAGCAGTGTGGACGCAGCTTCCGTCACCTGGGAACCTACAAGAGCCACCGCTGTACGCCGGCACAGTAACCAGCCCAGCTGCTATGCTTTCTACGCTTTCTGATACCAACAAATTTGAAGTGTATGTTAGAGACAGAATGTGGTGTTGAGTCTTCATTGTGTATCCTGAGATGCTGCCCAAGCTGTTCCGTCACATTCATGACATTTCACCCCTGCATCAGGCATCAAGAAAAGCTGTGTCGTTGTGCTTGACCTTCGGAAACTGCAGTTTGGCGAAACAGTGTCGACTCAAGGTTTACATAAGCTACATCACAGATAGCAACAGTTTATCAGCAGATGGAGTTTGCTCAGTTATCATGAAACTGTTTTTAGGACTTTTTGTCAGTGTTTGCTTAAAAGTTGAGCCTGGAAGTTTATTCTTGAACTTAGAAACTTATATAGAACCATTTGGGAAGTCCTTGTTGGAAACTGTTTGGAAAAGGGTAGGCACTTTTCTCTAGAGGTGATTGGATAAACCATCTTTCACAATCAACCAATCAGATCAATGAACCATATAACGTAGTCAAGCCAGTCGGGACAAAGAGAAAACATCTTGTCCATCAAGAAAAGTCTTGCTGTTCTGCTCTGCTTTCAAAGAAGAAATACTCTTCAGCACTGACATAACTGATGCTAGCAGAATCTATGCTAACCTCTTTAGCAATCGCCATTGTTGTTTAATGAACTTCTTGCTGCATCACACCTTGTGCCCATGTAGCTGCCTCAGAGGACACTGATTGGTTCAGTACCACTGTAGTATGGCCACAAACATATAGTCTGACACCTGGCAAGATGGATTCTTGTGTGCTCTTGTGTCCAGCTACCTCGCAAGGTTATAGAAACTTTCAAAACTACAGAAACATAACAGTTCCATGACAACAGAGCAGACTCCATCCACAGACGGGGCAGAACAAGTTAGTTACAGTGAAGCTAGAATGTTTTTTTCAAAAAATCAGAGGCCACCAGACACCGCAAAGATAAGAGGTGGTTACATTTTTAAGCCAAGTCATCAGGAAGGGAGGTGGATCCAGGCCTGAAACCCCAAAGGTATTATTAGTCACATTTCTGGTCACTCACTTTAAATTTGACCTCCAAATGAAGTGGTTCAGGTAATCTTGATAAAGTGTGTATTTCAGTAAATTATGGCAATGACTAGACTTGAAGCTGGCTTGAGATAGGTAATCAGTCATAGCAAACATAATTTGACCCTTGTGTAGTAATACAGCTGAGAGCAGATCAGCGCAGCATGAGAATGCAGTTATGTTTGGTAGCCAACTCATTGTCAAACACTCAATGGTCAGCATAGCATGCTGGAGGCGTCCTAAAACCCTGAAGTTTCAGTCCCCTCTCCTCAATGTCAATGGGTTATTTGAGTGGTTTGGTCAGATGCCTGAAATAATGTCTGTGGTTAACACATGCTTAAGAGATTTTCCTGTTTTGTTCTACAACATAAAATGTCAGTAAATACCACGACAGATGTTATCTGCGACATTAAACATCAGCACGCTGAACACGGAGACTTATCTACTCACTAGTCCGCCTTGTTGTGTTTATGTTCATGCTCTTCCAAACTATTCTGACTCAAACTTTACGATAGGGCTGTATTCAAAATTAACTGTCAACAGCACAACAGACCGTTTGAAGTAGTTTGCCTTGTGATCAAGCAAAGGGCGATTCACTTGATCAGCACATCGGCTTGACTTAAAACATACCCTATTGACCTGTCAGTAAACCAAGCTATTAATGTGGTTTACTACAAAAATGGAGGACACTAGCAAGTAAACCATGGAACAAAGCTGTCCTGAGTGGACAATCGCGACACCAAAGCATCTGAGAAGCTTCTGTCGACTTTGTGCGAAGCAGCTGTCTAACTATACAATGATAGCAAATTGGCGAACTCACTTGCACTCACGTTAGCTTGCCACCCAAGTGAGGCACCACAGACAAGTGGAGCATCTGGCCCCGTTTTAGAAGCTCGTAAAAGTAAAAGTTTTATGCGCAGGGATAAGGGGATATATGGGCCACTGTTGTGGTAAGAGTAAATTCTTATCCTATAGTATAGCTTTTACATTATGTTTACAAATTCATTTGAATGAATTGCGTGTCATTTGAAATTCATTTGAACGTGATTTTTGGAAAAAGTGACTTTATACTTTATAACTTGTAGATTTTAATTACAAGATTTAATTGCAAGTTGGAAGTTTAGCGGTGGTGACCTTGAAGTCATGCAACCGCGGTGTAGTTTGTAGCCTAATGTTAGCATTTTGCTTCTGGTGATTGCATTTACACTTCAAAAATCATTAAAGCGGTGTTCATTCTTGAAAATTATCTTGCTGAACAAAATCTGTAAGTATCATAAACCTTTGTTTACCACAGAGCTTATTACCTGCAATAATCCAATGGGAAAATCACATCAGATTTTTGTAGAAGGAACCAAGATGATGCTAACTTCAGGGTTGGACGACATAATTGCTGCAGCTCTCTCTAGTACTTGTATTTACTTTGACTTGTATAACATTGCAGGACTTTTACTAGTAACAGAGTGTTTTCGCACTGTGGTATTGCTACTTTTACTTTAAGTTAAAGATCTGAGTACTTATTCCAGCACTGCTGAGAAGCCTTTACATTCACTTATCCATTATTCATACTGCCTGGATTGTGTTTTATATCTCACTGCTACCTATAGCAACAACATGTTTCGGACTCATATTTCCTTCAAAATATGGGCTCCATGTATTGGTGGCGCTTCAAACCTAGAACAACATGGTAGCACCTTTGAAATTTACTGTAATGGACATGAATCAAGGGTTAGGGTTAGCGTTCTGCTTGTGGTGCTCAAAGAAAAAAAAATGCATTGGAAAAACTCAACAGCAATGTCTCTTTCCAGAAATCATGACTCAGTTCCTCATTGTGAGCAGGTTCATGTTGGAACTATTCTCTTTCTACTGAACAACACCCGGCAACCGTACCTTAACGTTAGCTGTCTCAATGGTTAAAGGTGAGCTAGCTAATGTTACAGCTTATTAATGTTTACTTCCTGTTCTCTCATGAGTCTCTCCTCTGTGAGTAGAAGCACGCTTCCTTCAGCGTGGTGATATGTAGAAAGAAAATAGTTCCTACATGAAACTGCTCACAACAAGGTCTGTGGATTATCAGATAGCTGAGTGGCATTTGGTTCCATTATATTGGAGAGAAGGCAGACATATCAATGACATATCTCCAAAACTCAACTACTCACAGCAAAGCAATATAGATGGATAAATAGTGCTACAAGTAAAAGTAAAAATATGTATTTCTGATTTTGGGGTGAACTGTCCCTTTAAAGCTGCAGTAGGCAACTGTTATAAACCTAACTTTTTGTCACATTTCTTGATATTTTCACTATGTTCTGACAGTAGTACATACAATACAAAAATCAGGTTCCTCTGGCTGAGAAAGATATAAAGACACTTTGGATTGGAGGCTTGAAGACAGTTGAATGTTGAGTCTGATTTACAGGGGGGAGATACTCAACAATCAACTATCTTTCTCGGCTCTGATTGTTGTTTTTCTTCAGGCCCGGTGGATTCACGCAAATGCCAGTAGGAGCACTAGGAGGAGCCATAGGAACCTGATCTTTCACAGATTATCTGTCCCATGTCCTACTGTCAGGATATAGTGAAAGTTTCAGCAAATATGAAAAAAAGTTATTTTAATCAAAATAACCTACTACAGCTTTAACTAAAAATAAAACTGAAAATTTTGCTGATTGGATTACATATCTGGAATATATTTCAGAATCCATTCATTCATTTCAGCCTCAACCTACTGATCCTCCAGGACACCCTCTCATGACCTCACTCTGTGGTGACAGACCGGTCTGTTAACAGTGCACCACCACCTACGTGTGGACTGACTGTGTAACTACAAGGGTCATACTGTCTTTGTTCATGACACTGCTTGGTGCTATGTGTAGAGCAGAACGTTTACCATATCATTTTTAACCAGTGTAATCTAATGTTACAGACTATATATTGGTTATTTTATACGTTTGCTTGTATGACGACTAAAGTTGTGTGATGACGGGAGAAGAAAAAAAAACCTGGAAGGAAAATAACATCCCAAGTGTCTGGTGTGTTTACTCAGTTGGTCTGGTTCAGTGAAAGCCCATTAGGCTTGTGTGTAAAATGAGTTTCTAGGTCTAAGCACTGTGTGGAAGACTAAAAGCAAGAAAACAACTTGTGGAAGTGAAACGCTAACCATTGACAATCTGCTTCCTAATAAACAGTTGTCTTAATGTCATGTATGAGTATGTTGTTTAACTGTCAGAGGTGGAATGAACATACTGTCCAGTACTTTAAGCTGCAGTAGGTAATTTGTCATATTTGCTGAAACTTTAACTATATCCTGACAGTAGTACATGACACTGATAATCTGTGTAAACAACCAATCAGAACTGGGAAAGATAGACTACTATCTAACAAGTATCTTGACTGATTGGTTGCTGTTATGACAAAAAAAAGTTATAAAAATGTCCTCCTACAGCTTAATACTTGTACTTTATGTGAGTATTTATTTTATGCCACTCTATACTTACTGTATACTTCACTACATGCCAGAGGGAAACACTGTACTTTGTACTCTGTCACAATAACGTGGCTATAGTTACTACTTTCAAATCTTGGTAAATGGACCTGTACTTGTATAGCGCGTTTCTAGTCTTCCGACCTCTCATAGCGCTTTTACACTACATGACACATTCACACAGCGATGGCAAAGCCCATCAAACAGAAACTAACTCATTCATACACATTCACGTTCAGTATCTTGCTCAAGGATACTTCGACGTGTGGCAGGAGGAGCCGGGGCTCTGCCTCTGCCCGTAAAATCTTACAAATAAAACTCAATCTATAAAGTATGATGCACTGTTCATTAAGTTTTAATTAGCTCTCTCCTGACTGGCTACAGTACTAAAATGCTCTTTAAATGCTAATGCATCAGTAACCAAATTATATTATGCAATTTTACAACATCATATTACCTAATACTTTTTATTACTTCGATATTTAAGTACATTTGGCTTAAAATAATTTCATACTTTTATTCAAAGGATCATACTGGTAATTTTGCATGATTTAACCGTTTTACTACAAATGACAGATTCACAGTTAATATATCAATAAATAAAATAAAAAGCAAATCAAAAACGTTCCAATGTTGAAACACTGATATTGAGCCCATAAAAGATCTGTGGTTAAAAACATATGTATATATATATACACACACACACACACACACACACACACACACACACACACACACACACACACACACACATATTCTTAATCAAAAATTTAAGAAAGACTATTTTCTTTTAATTTTCCTCAGAAACAAGCTAGGACATAATTCAAATTCAAGTAGAAGTTATTTACTTTTTTCAGTCAATTTTACATTAAATTTAATCATCATTATGGTAGTGTTGAATTTATTTATTTTTATTTCATCCAGGCTATAATTGGTAGAGCAAATTTCAACTTTTTTTATACATTATGTGCACACAAATGTATTATTTTAATATTGGCAGCCATAGACTTCCATAGGTACACAAGTTGAACATGTATTTGTTTACTGTATTCTTTCTTTAGCAGCCTGATACCTTAAGCACACAGTGACAATTCCCATGCACACATGATAAATTATGGGACCACCCCAATTTAATGGAGGCATGGGTGCACATTCCTACAATGGCAGAAATAAATACCTTTGAGTCGAGACGGATGGCTAGAGGGTGACAATAGAATTGGAAGCATTTTGTTGTGTGGCTGCAGAGTGGTGTGGCAGGCAGATACTGTATAAAAAGTAGAATTAATTCATGTGGCGTTTTTTTAAACTTGTATCTTTGTTCTTAGAGGAAATGGCATTTTTTCATTCACAGGCAAACCAACAAATGTGCATTCACGTACAAACCAGTTTAGGATGCTCAGCATGCTCCAATGAAGTTTGGGGTTTGGGTATGGTTGTGGTGGTTTCCATTGACAGTCAACAGTTGCTGTTGCATAGGGCCCTCGAAGCCACCAGGGGGCCCCCCGAGCTGCCATTTGATGATCATTTTTAAGCTTTTCTATAGATGTTTGTCCAAAATGTCACACATGCTAAACTCCACTGAAAAATCGAACTTTTAAAAAAATGTGTTAAAAATAACCTCCTGCATTCGTCACTGAATAACATGCTGATTAAAACAATTTACGGTTTTTAATTGATGTTTGTGTTAATGATTATGTTTGATTTTTATTTATCTCCTAAACAGTTGATCAGAAACATATGGTGTAATTTTTTCAGCACGGCAACCATAATTCTGCTGTAATGTGTTTGAGGTAGTCTACTGGTTTCCATGACAACCGCAGTAAATAATAAAGATTTTAAGGGAAAATCTAGTATCTGTCTTATTTATGCGCATTTGGCAGATATTATAATTTTAGTTTTTAGGAGTTTCTTGATGTAAGGGAGCCCAAGTGTTTATCATCATTTTCTTTATATTAAAGGCCCGGCTGTGGTCCAGAGGAAGAGCGGGTCATCCACTAATCGGAAGGCTGTTGGTTTGATCCCCAACTCCTTCCGCTACACGTCGAAGTATCCTTGAGCCCTAGGCCTAGTGTAAAAGTGCTTTAAGTGCTAAGAGTAGAAAGGTGCTATACAAGTACAGGTCCATTTACCCTTACCAAATCACTGGGATCAACTTGAAATGGAAAAAAAAGAGACAAAACAAAAAATGTAACAGATCTAGCCTCTTTTAACCTCTTTTTTTAAAAGTGCACCTGATTGAGGCATTTAACTGTTTAATGCATGCCCCCAGACCACCTCACAATATAGGGCCCCCCAAAAGAAATATTTTGCATTGGGCCTTCACTGAGAAAATATTTACGTTACCTTATGGGATGAAAAGCTGTTAATAATAAACAACACAAAATGTCATTATGAACTTTCAATTTAAAAATAAATTATCATCACCATCATCATCTTTGTCCGCTTATCTGGGGTCGGGTTGTAGGGGTAGCAGGTCCAGCAGAGGACCCCAAACTTTCCCTGGCCACATTGGCCAACTGACTGGGGGATCCCGAGGCGTTCCCAGGCCAGTGTGGAGATATAATCTCTCCACCTGGTCCCTGGTATGCCCCGTGGCCTCCTCCCAGCTGGACATGCCAGGAACACCTCCCTCGGAAGGCGCACTTGGAGGCATCCTCACCAGATAGGGCTCTACTCCGAGTCCCTCGCAGATGACCAAGCTTCTCACCCTATCCCTAAGGGAGAAGCCGGCCACCCTCCTGAGGAAACCCATTTCGGCCGCTTGTACCCACGATCTTGTTCTTTCAATCATGACCCACGACCATAGGTGATGGTAGGAACAAAGATCGACCGATAGATTGAGAGCATTGCCTTTTCTCTCAACAGTGCGATAAAGGGACCGCAATACTGCCCCTGCTGCCCCGATACTCCGGCCAATCTCCCGCTCCATTACACCCTAGCTTGTGAACAAAACCCTGAGGTACCTGAACTCCTTCACTTGGGGTAAGGACTCATTCCCTACCCAGAGTAGACAATCCACTGGTTTCCTGCTGAGAACCATGGCCTCTGATTTAGAGGTGCTGATCCTCATCCCAGCTGCTTGACACTCAGCTGCAAACCGATCCAGTGAGTGCTGAAGGTCACAAGCCAATGATGCCATCCGGACTATATCATCCGCGAAAAGCACGGATGTAATCCTCAGCCCACTGAACTGCAACCCTTCCCCCCACAACTATCCCCCCTCTCGCCCAGCGCCTCACACCTTGAGCAACTCCAGAGAAGAATAAGGTCCAACCCCTATCTAGGAATAAGGATCCAGAGCCTTGGCTGTACGTAGACGTAAGCCTCACCAGATCTAATTGATAGCGCTCCACCTCCCGCACAAGGTCCGGCTCCTTCCCCCCAGCAAAGTGATATTCCACGTCCCCAAAGCCAGCTTTTGCTGCTCGGGTCTGTACTGATGAGGCCCATTGCCTTCACTGCTACCCATTTGGCATTGCACCCGACCCCACTGGTTTCTCCCGTGAGTGGTGGGCCCGCGGGATGAAGATGTGTCCACGGCTATGCCCGGCCGGGCTCCGTGGCAAGCCCGGCCACCAGGTGCTCTCTTTCGGGCCCCCCTTCTAGGCCTGGCTCCAGACGGGGGCCCCAGGCTTCCTCCGGGCCGGGTCTCTTTACACCTTCCACGTACTTTCATGGGGTCTTCTGCAAACCATTCTTAGTCTGACCCCTCACCTGAGACCACTGGGTCTTGGGAGACCCTACCGGGAGCATATTGCTCCAGACAACACAGCTCTCAGGTTCATAGAAGCACCGAAACCTCTCCACCACGGTAAAGTGATGGTTCCAGGAGAGCTTTATGTAATTTTTAGTCCAATACAAAACAAATGTAGGGATAAAACTTCCTACATGGTGCAGTTCACACAGTGCAGATCCAAAAGAATACTATCTATACTATGCTATTCATGTGTGTACAGCTCATTCCCTAGCACTGATCCATTTGGTATCCATCAAACGTTAAAAACTTCAATCAAGTGTCCTGCTTGCTATTGTGTTAGTAAAAGCTTATTTCAGCAGGGTTGTTGCAGGCATTAAACAGTAGCACAGTTATCTTGTAGCTTAATTTACTTCCATCAGAAACAGTATTATTTAGTTAGTATTTAGCATTAGTTGTTTTAAATCAGGCCTGTGGTATCCCTGCCTTGGTCATCTTTCATCTTCATCAGCCCTGCATGTTAAAGGTCCAGTATCAGAATCAGAATCAGAATCAGATTTATTGCCAGGTAGGTTTTACACATATGAGGAATTCGTCTTGGTGCAGTAGTGTATAAAATATACAGTCACACAAAAATATACAAATCACACAACAATCACACACAAAAATATAGTCTTTTAATTACATTTTCAATTCAATTCAATTCAATTCAATTTTATTTGTATAGCGCCAATTCATAACAAGTTATCTCTGGACACTTTTCAAATAGAGCAGGTCTAGACCGAACTCCTTTTAACATTATTTACAGAGACCCAACAGTACCATCATGAGCAAGCACTTGGCGACAAGGGCAAGGAAAAACTGTCTGTTAAAAGGCAGAAACCTAGGACAGATCCTTCGGCTCTAGGTGGGTGGTCGTCTGTCTCGACCAGTTGGGGTGAGAGAGAGAGAGAGAGAGAGAGAGAGAGAGAGAGACAGACAGACAAACAGACAGGTGCACAGCAACAACAGTAGCAACAACTACACTAATAGTAGTGACTGATGATGATGAACCTAACAACAGCAACGATTGGGGACAATGAGCAGTGACAACAGCAACAACAGTAACCGTAGCTATAATAATACTTATAATAATAATAATAATAATAACACTAATATCAGTGATATTGGCAATGGAAGTCAAGCAGGACCATGGCAGGAGGCTCCACCAGGATCCATGAGAACCTGCGAGACGAAAAAGCACAAGAACTAGTAACATGCATTAGTGGGACA